CATACAAAAAAAAATCTAATTAATCCCTAATGGTCAAAAACGTATATGTAATTTCCCTTGCGCAGTCCCCCGATACTTTTAATATAGTGCACACCGAGTGTTAAGACCTTCTGTTGACCAGATCTAGGGCAATCACCCCAAATTTGGAGGCGGAAAAAATTAAAACGTTTTTATATAGTTTGGGGTGTATGGAAAGGCGTATATATAGTTTGGACCTTTTGGGGGTTAATGCATATGAATGCTTAGAAAAAGAACCCCATGTTTAAAAAGCAAAAAACCCCAATACAATTTTCATTTTGAAATTTTGCTCTAAAAAAAGCTAAACTTTTTTGGGAAATGCTAAAAAACTTGTTCCTGGAGGCCTTCTTTGTTTGTGTGAAGCTGTTTGTGTGTGAGAGAAATTTAAATTTTGTGTTCCCCCAAATTTTAAAAATAAAAGTCCCAAAAAAATTAAAGTACTCTGCAATAGAAAGCTGATCAAGAGTGGGTGGGACGATCCCAAAATTTTTGCGATATCCATATCGTTTTTAGGCCAAACCCATCAAAATCTGCAAAATCCCCACAATACTATATTTTAACATAATTGGTACCCCCCTAATAGGAGTACTACCGTGAAGTTTTCTTCCAAAAATTTTGGCAAGTAGCTAGGATTCCGTACTTAAATTTGGGAAGTGCTGAAACGAAAGGAAATATTGCACTCAGGAAATGGTGAGCAATCATATATGATTTGGGAAGGGGAAAGGGTGTTCAACCCCTTGGATCAAAAATCTTCCCGAAAACCCCCCCACCCCTTCCCCCCTGAAGAGTGGAAAAGTGTGTCTGTAAAAACTAAAAATCTGTCAAAGTGTTCTTTAAAAGTAAGGTTTTCAGAAGTACTTAAAAAATTTTCACAACAAAAAAGTAAATTTTTCAAATAATTAGTCTTAAATTTTGATAATTAAAATTAAAGAATTTTGTTTCAAAACATTAGTGCAATAATACTGGAAATTATCTCAACAAGGACTATAATTCCCTTAAAACGGTTTTGCATCACGACAAAAAAAAACACCAGTCTAAAGAAAAACACCATAGTAATGTTAATGTGAATATTTTTTTTAAAAGTATACTATAAAAAAAAATGTGTTAATAAAATTCCTTTTTAAAAAAAGTGATTTCGTACAAAGTTTTCCCTTTTGCAGGAGAAAAAACTTTCCCAACGGTACTGGTGTAAAATGTTAGCTATACAAACAGTCATTGAGGACTGAAAAAGCTCCCAAAACAAAAAAAAAACATCCCCAAATAAAATATCAAAACATTGCAATGTGTCAGTTGCCCTTTAAAGTACAGGTTTTTGAGCAAAAAATTTTCCCGAACATTTTTTTAAACCCAAAAATTTACAGATTTTGGAAAATAAAAGTTTAAAAAACAAAAATAATGGTATACCAATTATACAACACACCACCCTGTATTTATATAAATTAATTCTTATCAGGGGAAAGAGCCATAACAAATAATTTAAAATAAAAAAAAATTTGAAGTGCTAAACCCACGGGGTCAAAACAAAGTAATTTTTTTTTTTTAAACAAGTCACCCGTCTTCCCCGGTTTGACGATATACATATGATATGATTACTTAACGGGGAGTCCCAAGCTCTAAATCATCCTATTTCAAAATTCAGTTAACAAAACACATTTCCTCAATCTTTAATTAATGCCCGTTCAAAACTTTTAGAATTGTCCTTCAACCATCTCTTCCTGAATTAAAAATCATCTCCTTTTCCCGATTTATAATTTCATTTTTTTACAAAACCCTTAAAAACTGATATTGTAACCAAGTTATCCCAAGTAAATTTACCAGTCAGGGTGAGGTGGGGGCTTTTCAGAATCAGAGGCTATTCCCAACGCCTTTTTCTATTCCAGAAGTATAAACTAAAGAATTGAACAGGCCCCCCCAGGAAGATGTCTTTTGTCCCACTTTTTACATTAAAAATTAGGCTTATAACGTTTGTTAGTTTGAATTTCTTTTGCAGATTCATCCTATTTATATAAGCAATGGAGCTTTTCGAGATACAAAATTTTTTAAAAATCAAGAGGGGCTACAAGTAAACCATATTGATTCCTTGCAATATCCCCGGTTATAAATGCATAATTTACCCCATTGCATGGGCAATATCAAAAATTTTTAAACCCAAAGTTAATGTATAGTATACACTATAAAACCCATGCAAATAAAGCAAAAAATAATTATCTTTTCTCTTGCTATAAATATTCTTTTTTTTAAGGGGAAATGGCTGTATCCCATGAGGGAGGGGTGATCTAAAAAAAAAAAAGTTTTACTTTTAAATTTGGTAATTTTTCGGAGAAGGGGGGTTCCAGCCCCCTTTTCCTGGCCCTTTTGTTGCCCCTTATGAATGTATGGTTTAAGGGAAAAAATTATTTTCCGCTTCCCCTGGAGTTTTGAAAAAGGGAAAAGATAATTTTTTTAATTTAATGTTTTTTTGATTTAAAACAAAAGTTTTTTCACCAAAAAAAAATTTAAATACTTCAAGATTTGCTCAGCATTGCACTTGCAGGAAATTTCTTAGCAAGAAATAAATTCTTCATCTCTTCAAAATCATGAAAAAATTCCCCTGACATCTTACCAAATGTCCTTGTAGGTACAGCATTAACAAAATTATCCACCTCAAAAAACAGATAACCAATATTGCAAAGAAAAAACAAATAAATGAATAAATAAAAAAATAAAGTCAACAGTACAAATCTACAACCCAGAACAACAGGATGCTGCTAGTCAATGACTGAATATTTTGCTTGTCCCCAGTTTTGATTGGGGGACAAGCAAATTAATTATGTAGTGTACACTGTGAAACATCTTAGCCTAATTCATCCAACTTTTTTTTTTTTTTTTTGATAATGAAGGAGCAGGAGAGGACAGAAAGATGTCCAGTCATTAATAGTCTATAGGTCTGCCCTATTTCATGTAATTTTTATCTGTGTTACTAATACATGGCTCAGTAGTAGCACAACCTGTATAACTCATGAAATCGTAATGACACGATTGCAAAAAAATGATTAAAAAAAAAATCAGATAGAGTATAACTGACAGATAGGTTCAATCCCAGAGCAGGTGATAAGATATGTTGGACATGTTTCCTTACATCAGTTACCCATTCACCTAACAGTTAGGTAGGTGGGTAGTCACCAACTTTTGTGGGACATATCCCAAGGAAGAGAACCAGGCCCTGACTGGTAATATGTTAAGACTGTTTGGCTTTTTTGGGCTATCAAGGGGATCTAATAAAGGCTTTTTCTTCTTCATGGAGAAGTACTAAACCCATAAGGGGTTACACAGTTCCTAATGAATGGGAAGTAATCATGTTTAATCCAAGAAAGTGAAGGATAACTTCAATTTCTTGGATTAAGAGCTACCCTTCTCTAGCATCAAGGCAGTCCTTTGTTACATTTTATAACATTACAGTATCACTCATTAAATATAACATAATACTTGTGCTGCCTTGGCAACATTTCACCTATGCAAATCAGTAGCTTTGTTACTGCAATGTCAATATTAAACACTTCACATTGTATCTAATATGTATGTGGTATCTCTTTTTCATGTGCCTTCCTATACAGCTTATAGCTGCCCTCTTCTTCAACAGAATTCAATAATATACTCTGGGTAGTATTCCATCTTCTCATACTTGACAAAGATATTTGGAGCGTACACATTATCCACAGTTGTGTCGTACATTGTGTTGGTAAGATTATTAGTTGGTGGACGGGTGAGAGTTGGCGATCCTTTAGCCACAGTACCAATGATGACTTCTGCCAATATCAATATGAAATGGCCATTCACATCTCTGGTACAACTACTCCGGGCAATGGCAGCACTGAAAAGGAAGAAAAAAGTGGAAAGATTTGCAGCATAATAAATTTCCAGTCATAGATGGGGTTGTAAGAGAAATAAATGCGAGGGTCTTGGCAAGAGGCATGGAGTTAAAAGATAAAGGATCACACACAAACGTTGCGGAGTTGTCACAGCTGCTCTTTGCTGATGACACTGTGCTCTTGGGAGATTCTGAAGAGAAGTTGCAGAGATTGGTGGATGAATTTGGTAGGGTGTGCAAAAGAAGAAAATTAAAGGTGAATACAGGAAAGAGTAAGGTTATGAGGTACCAAAAAGATTAGGTATGAAAGATTGAATAAATCAGCTTGGAGGGAAGAGAGTATGGAGGAAGGTTGAAATGTATTAGATATTGGATGTGGACGTTTCAGCGGAATGGGTCTATGCAAAGATGAGGTGAATCATAGAATTGCATCGAGGGGAAAGAGTGAGTGGTGCAATTAGGGGCGGCAACAAGTCTGTGGACGACAAAGAAACTTTGTCTTGAGGCAAAGAGGGGATGTTGGAGAATTGTTTTACCACGATCTTATATGGGTGGATCATGGGTGATGAATGTATGCAGTGAGGAGAAGGCTAGGAGGCAGTGGAGATGTCATGTCTGAGGGCAATGTTGGGGTGTGAATATAATGCAGAGAATTATAGTTTGGAAGTTAGGAGGTGGTGCGGGATTACCAAAACTGTTGTCAGGACGGCTGGGAAGGGTTTAGAGGTATTGGGAAGATGGAGGGAATATTTTGAGGGATTGTTAAATGTTGATGAAGATAGGAGCTGTGATTTGTGTATAGGGCAAGGAGGAATAACATCTCGTAGGATGTGAGGAAGAGCCTGTTGTGAGTAGTTGGACCGGGACACGTTCGTGTTGGCAGTAGGTAGATGGAAATGGGGGTTAAGGCAGCGGGATGATGGATAAAGAAGAAATGTTAAAAGCAGGTGAGGGTAATAGTGTTGGAGTGGTTGGTGCAAATTATTTAATAAATGTATGGATAAAGAGGGTAATGTCCTAGGGATTGGCAGGAGAGCATGCATAGTTCCTTGTATAAAGGGCAAAGGGGACAAAGAGATTGCAAAATTTATAGGGGGATAAGTTGGTAGTTAGTGTGTTGTGTCGACAGCAACCACACTGGTGAAGTACTACCCGTCCTGCCAGATGAATGATGAAACAAAAACCTGTAACTGTTTTGCATGATGGTAGGATTGCTGGTTTCTTTATTTTCTGTCTCATAAACACGCTACGATAACAGGGATACTTGATACTCCTACTTACAACTTTGGTCACACTTCACAGAGAGACGTAGTTCGCACAATGCATATATTATTATATACATCTAGGTTTTGCTCTTTTTCTAAATAGCTCTTGTTCTTTTTTATTTCTTCTATGTCCATGGTGGAAGTGGGAAAAGAAACTTTCCTCCGTAAAGCCATGCGTGTCGTATGAGGCGAACTCTAATATGCCGGGAGCAATGGGTAGTAACCCCTTCCTCCTGTTATCCAATTACTAAAAAAGAGAAGAAAAGAAAATCTTTATAAAACTGGGTTGCTTAAAAGTGGTGGATGTAGTGCGATGAAAGAAACAAATATTGCTTGATGTATATGAACTGAAAAGAAGTTGGATGAAATGAGCCCTAAGCGAAAAAAGTGAAAGGGGTAGGGGCGTTTCAGTGGGGGGAAAAATAAATGGGATTAATCTGGAGTATGAGAGAGTTAGAGCAAAGAAGGGGTTAGCAGGTAATGTTAAAGATCAGTTATGGAAGGAGAAAAGGATTATGAATTGTGTAAGTTCAAGACATTATGTGATTAAAGTAAAGGTTAGATGCGAGAAGTGGTCTTAATAAGCGGTTGTATGCACCTGGAGAAGAGAGGAATGCAGAGGAGAGAGAGAGATTTTGGAGATGTTTAAGTGAATGTATAGGAGCCATTGAAACAAGTGAGGAGAGTCATTTGTGGTTAGGGGTCTTGATTGCTAAAGTAGGAGAAACTTTTTTCGAGAGGGTGTGGTAGGTAAGTTTGGGGTGCAAGGTTGTAAATGATAAATGGGAGCCCTATTGATTGAACTTTGTACTAGAAAGGGAGTATAGTTCTTACTATATTAGTTGATAATACATATTTTAAGAAAAAGAGGATAAAATAAGTATACACGATTGATGTAGGGCGAAATGAAGTAGTTGGTTGTAGGATTATGTATTGGTAGATAAAAAGACTGTTGTGTAGACCTTAGGTGTACATGTTATAGAGGGGCCACAGATATATCAGATTCACTTTCTAGTTGTTGCTCCACTGAGAGGAGTAAAGGTAGATGCGGATACAAGGAGAATAGAAGCTTCAGGGAAGAGAGAGGTGAAGGTGTTTTATAAACTAAAAGAGGAGGCAGTTAGGGAGTACGATATAAACAAGCTACTTGGAGGATAGATGGGCTTAATGAGCAGCATCAGGCAATGGGGTCGAAGAGGTAATGGGGTAGGTTTTAAAATGTAGTGTTAGAGTGTTCAGGAGAAGTTGTGGTTACAGGAAGTGGGTGCAGTTGGGAAGAGGAGCGATTGGTGAATGTGATGTAAAAGAGAGTAGTAGGGGAGAAAAAGTAGACATATGAGAAGTTTGTACAAAGTAGAATTAGATGCAAGGAGGCGGAAGAGTATCTGGAGAAAAAGAGAGAAGTTAATAGGATGAGTGGTGAAGCACTTGTTAAAAGAGAGCAAAATGAGAGAGGGGGTGAGATGTTATCAACAAATTTTGTGAAAATAAGAACAGTTTTGGGTGTGATTACTAGTTAAGAAAAGCCTAGAGAACAAATGGATTTGTCGTTAAAAATAGGAGAGGAGAGTTATAAATGGGGTTTGATGTATTGGGAAGATGGAAGGAATATTTTGGGAAATTGTTAAATGTTGATGAAGATAGGGAAAAGCTGTGTTTGTTGTAATTAGGGCAACGGAGGAATAAACATCTTGTAGGAGTGAGGAAGAGACAGTTGTGAGTGTGGGGAAGTTAGTGAGGCAGTAGATAAATGAAAGGGGGTAAGCAGACCGAGATTGTGGGATAAAGATAGAAATGTTAAAAGCAGGTGGGGATATAGTTTGGAGTGGTTAGGTGCAATATTTATAAACGGTACTGGAAGAGGGTAAGGTACTAGGGATTTGGCAGAGAGATGCATAGTTACTTTGTATAAAGGCAAAGGGGATACAGAGAGTGCAAAAAATTAGACGGGGTAAGTCTGTTGAGTTGTACCTGGTAAGTGTATGCTTAGAGTTATTAATTGAAAGAATTAAGAGTTAAGACGGAGAATCGGATAGCGATATACAAGAGGCTTAGGGAAAGGTAGGGGGTGTGTGGACATGTGTTTACGTGAAACCTATAAGTGAACAGTATTTAGATAGGCTAAAAGAGGTCTTTGTGGCATTTATGGATTTGTGTACATGGCTTATGTATATTGGCCAGTTTGGAGGGTTATGTTGTGTATCTTTATATGTTATGTTCTTAGACTGTTGTATTCTGAGCACCTCTGCAAAACTAGTGATAATGTGCGAGTGTGGTGAAAAGTGTTGAATGAAGATGAAAGTATTTTTTTTTGGGCGCTTTTTTTTTTTTCGGGTCCCCTCTGCTCGGTGGGAGCAGGCATCAATCCGACTTGTTGAAAAAAAAACAAAAAAAAAAAAAAAAATATGACAGGCGTGGAATGGATAGCGGGCGGCAATGTGGCATTTGTAGTGTAGAAGTGTATGGTCGTAGGAGGTAGGTTTACTGAAAGAGTGAGAGTTTTTACAGAGGATTAGTGAGCTCAAGTTAGAGTATGTAGGAAAGAGGGAAATTTTTTCCAGTAAAGTAGGCCTTAGACAAGGATTGTGTGATGTACGTTGGTGTTTAATATATTTATAGATGGGGTTGTAGAGAAGTAAATGCTGAGGGTCTTGGCAAGAGGCGTGGAGTTAAAAAGATAAAGAATCCACACAAAGTGGGAGTTGCTCACAGCTGCTCTTTGCTGATGACCTGTGCTCTTGGGAGATTCTGAGAGAAGTTGCAGAGATTGGTGGATGAATTTGGTTTAGGGTGTGCAAAAGGAAGAAAATTTAAGGTGAATACAGGAAAGAGTAAGGTTTATGAGGATACAAAAGATTAGGTGATGAAGATTGAATATCAGAGTGGGAGGAGAGATATGGAGGAGGTGAAACGTATTCCAGATTTTTGGGACGTGGACGTGTCAGGGATGGGTCAATGAAAGATGAGGTGAATCCAAAGAATTGATGTGGGGAAAAAAAAGAGTGAGTGGGCACTTAGGAGTCTGTTGGAGTACAAAAGAACTTTGTCTTGGAGGAAAGAGGGGAATGTCTGGAGAGTCTAGTTTACCACGCTCTTATATGGGTGTGAAAAGCGTGGGTGAGAATGTTGCAGCGGAGGAGGAAGGCTGGGAGGCAGTGGAGACTGTCAATGTCGGAGGGCAATGGTGTGGTGTGAATATAATGCGAGACTTCGTAGTTTGGCTGTTAGGAGGAGGTGCGGGATTACCACAACTGTTGTCCAGAGGGCTGAGGGAAGGGTTGTTGAGGTGGTTCGGACATGTAGAGAGAAATGGAGCGAAAACAGAATTGCCTTCAAGGAGTGTATCATTCTGTAGTGGAAGGAAGGCGGAGCGTAGGGGTCGGGCTTAGGAAGGGTTGGAAGGGAAGGGGGTTAAAGGAGGTTGTGAGTGCGAGGGGCTTGGACTTCCAGCAGGCATGCTGTGAGCGTGTTTGATAGGATTGTGAATGGAGAACAATGGTTTTTTTTAATTACTTGTCGTGTGTTGGAGTGTGAGCAAAGTACTAATTTATGAAGGTATTCAGGGAAAACCGGCAGGCCGGACTTGAGTCTGGAGATGGGAAGTACAGTGCTGCACTTGAAGGAGGGTGTGTTATGTTGCCGTTTCCAAACTGTAGTTGTTAAGACCTTCTGGAAAGGACAGTGATGGAGTCAGTGTTATGATGGTGAAAGTTTTTCCTTTTCGGGGCCACCCTGCCT